AATCCCTAGACAGCTGCAACTCCCAGCCAGGGCCTCTTCAGCTCCCTGAAATCTGTCTCACTTTCCTGGCTGTTTCCTCGCAGTTTCATGAAGAGCCCAAGCCTGGAGACCTGATTGAGATTCCCCGCACTGGCTCCTCGCACTGGGCCCTCTATGTGGGTGATGGTTATGTGATCCACCTGGCTCCCCCAGGTAAGGGGGGTTGAAAGTGTAACTCTCCAGTTATTTGTTAACATGATGACAACAATTCAAAGCCAAATGCCACCCTGGGAACCCGAGTTGGTTTCTCCCTCGTCAGGGCTTGTGCTCACTGTACATCCGTGTCCCTTGGGGGCATCTCAGTGGTCCCTCAGGTCCTGACCCAGCAGGGAAAGAGGTCTGTGGGCCCCAGGGAAGCTGGGCTGCACCCGCATTGGATGCTCTCCAGCTCCAGCCCCTTAGCTGGGCTCGCAGACAGATTTCCCTAAACCAGCAGCGTCTCTGAGGGTCCTGGTCTCAGGAAGGGACTGCCTCTCAGTGCTGTGTCCTGTTGCTCAGAGGATGTCACAGAACAGGGCGTCCTGAGAGGGTTTCCTGAACACCCTCCACAGAGCAGCTCTCCCAGGTCACACATCACAGAGAGTCTCACACAGACGCACACGAGCACCTGGAACCTTGATGGACCGCAGGGACAGCAGGAGCAGGATGACAGCCAGTCAGAGGAGCAGGCAGGCCCCACACTGTGTATCCTCCATGAGAGAAAGGTGCTGGGATGAGACCGCGGGCTGGGAGCACAGGGGCTGGTGCCCTGCAGAGCAATGGCCCCCACACCTCGGACAGCAAGCGTTTGTGTTCTCCCTGGACTGAAACCATCTCATGATCAGAGGAATCTGCTTGTCACTGACCAGGTTCTGTACGCTGTCACCTACACTGACAGAGTGGAAAACTGTCAGAATGGATGGCAAATAGTAAGCGAAACCCACCTAATGCAGAGGACACTTAGGAGGCTGGGAACAGGGAGCGTGAGTGTGAGGACTGGGTCCTGCTGTGTGAGTGCAGGTGGTGTTTCCTCAAGGACGGGTGCTCAGTGCAGCCTCAGCCTCAGACTCAGCACATAAAGGGAGCCTGCTGGTTCGCGTGCTCCTTAGTTCCCTCCTCTTAGAGAGCAAAACCCGGGCTCCAGGCTCAATGGGATTTGGACGCCACCAGCTGGAAGTGCTGTGTGGACTCTCCGTGTGGCCAGAGCTGGGCCAGAAAAGGCTGATGATGCCTCAGGGTTCAATATCGGTTGTCAAATGGAGATGAGAGTATTTACCATGAAGTTCAAAAGGAGAATAAGTGAGGGAATATGAAACTAGTGGCTTGGTGCATGAATTTGTGCACAGGTGGGGTCCCGCGGCCCCTCCCTGATGGGGGCCCATTGGGCAGGGCCGGCTGTGTGGTCTAATCAGGAAGCTATAGCTTTCCCCCAGCTGAATGTAATTATTCTTTAAGTTTGGCACAAAGACAACCCACAACGGAACTGTTTTGCATTTCTCGTGCCATGAGATGAAGTTGTTTATGTGTTGTTTGCAAACATATATCAAGGTGAATGATGACCCTTGAATGATTTTTGCGTTCTTCCTGGGGCTCTGCCCTCGGTTCCCAATATGATCTTCATGTCTGTTTGTTTAAAAGTGTTTCTGTTTGTGAATGTGCCTACCCTTCGCTGTTGTTCCTGGCAGCCTGAGCGACCTCTTCGCCACGGCTTTTAAAGAGAGAGTGAAAGCTCCCCAAATCTGCAAGGCACCGCAATTTCACAAAATCCCCACCCAGCCTCTCTACATTCCTCAGCAAAGGGCCGCCATCCCCTTAATGCTTAGGTCGCCCTTTTGGCTATTTTGGAAGGTCTCCTGGGCTGCGGGCCGTGGAGGGAGAATTCCACACTTGGCTGCAGGATTAGCAGAGCCGTCTGGAGACTCTGGTTGGGGACAGAAGGGACTGATAATTATTTTCTTGTGCTTTCACTAAATTCACATGCACCAGGGAGCCAGGCAGTGATTTTGGTGTTGGGGGGTGGGGTGGGGAGGCCAGCTGGGGGGCGGGGCCGCCTGGGTGAGGGGCCAGGGTCATTCCGGTCATTCTGGTCATTCTCCCATTCGGTCGCTGTATTTATTACATAGGATGATCACAGCAGAGTGTCTGAAACACAGTGGGACTAAAATAACTTTGATCTCTTTCTGAAAATACAAGTACAAAGATGAACAAATACCATTTACTACCGCTGTTTACAATGGATAAGCTATGGACCAGCCAATACTAGGGACTTGGTCAACGAGATGATGTCCACTCATATCACGGAGCACAATGGCAGGGGATAACCATCACACGATTGATTAACATAAAAAAGTATTCACAACTTGTTAAGGAAAAGAGCAAAATCATTGAATCCTCCAACCACATTGGGGAAGAGACAGACACCAAAGCTCAATAGTGTCATCCCCTGGCCCTTCTTCCCTGTCTTGTGTCTTCTCTCTCCCTCCCTGGCCTCCCCTGCAGTTCCTGATACTCCTGTGTCTGATTCCAGGGGAGAACTCTGAGGCTGGATCCCCCACCGCTTTAGGGGTGGTGAAAAGGCAGCTCCTCGTGGAAGTGGTAGGAAAATCCTCCTATAAGGTCAACAACTACTTGGACCACCTGTACAAACCATGGCCTATAAAGAAGATCATCACGTTTGGGAACTGGTTGATTGGTAAGAAGATGGAGTACCCGGTCCTGAGCAGGAACTCTGAGCGCTTTGTCACGGATCTGAGATATGGCAAGGACCTCAGCTGGCAGGTAAGGCCCTCTGTGGGGGGCTCCCTCTCCCTTCTGGAGGTCTGCTTGGGGTGGAGGTGACAGGACTGTGCATCCAGAAGAACAACTTACCAGGAATGAGGCAAAATTATGCTCCCTGCTTCCTGCTGGCTGGGAGTTAGGATGTCAGAGAACAAATCTCGGGACTATTCCTGATCCACTCAGGGTCTTTGAACAGGTCACTTCTTCTCTGGCCTCAGTTTCCCCATGTGCAGAAGGAGGGGATATTGAAGGAGCTCTGGGGCTCTGGCCACCTCTATCCCTTTAGGATTCTTCGCCTCTAAGATCCACCCTAAAGGCAGCTCCTGATGCCCCTGTGTGCTGTCAGGGAAAGTCTGGGCCAACCCTGGACCATGACAGGTCTCCTAAGGCCCCAGAGAGCCCTCGGGCAAGAGATGGTCAAGGTCTGTGGCCCATGTAAGAGCTCAAGGACATGTTATGTAAGGTCTGGGCACATCCTTACTGCTCTCCTCTTTCTCCTCTTATTAAAACACAGCTAGTTAAGAGGCAGGAGCAGGATTCAATGCCCAGTGCTCCCGGCTCTTTCTGCTGAACCACAGCACCTCCAGGGCTCACAGCCCCTGTGATTGGGTGACGAACAGCCTGGATGGACGAAAATGAGGGGAGGAGCAGATTTGGGAGGGAAATTAACAATTTGATGCTCAGGTGGGGTGTTGAGGTGACCAGTTAGACATCCAGGTGGACCTGTTGAGTAGCAGTTGGACGTGCGAGTTTAGAGTTCAGGCTGAGGTGGGGCTGGAGATAGAAGTTTCCAGGCTGCACTTGGGAATAGTACACAGAGCACAGTGATCCCTGAGGCCATGGTTTCCCATCGTCTCCCCTCAGCTCTGCCACTACCTCCCTCTGCAGAGGTGAAGCCCAGGTAGAGCCCAGACCACAGGGCCATTCCCACTTTCACCCCCAGAGCTCTGGCCCCAGGAGCCCAGGCAGGAAGCCCCCTCCCCTAACCCTCCTGTCAGGTCAAATGACTCCACCATGGAGGTTCACACAGGCCTTTCGGGGGGTGGGGGAGGGACACAGAAGTCTGGGGGTTGGTCAGGAAAACGTGGGGTCACATAATCGGGAACAGGATGGCCCTGAATGAAGTCATGGGGGAAAGATGAACAAAGAAGTGAATTGCAGAGAAGCTTCCAGCCTAAATGACTACTGTTGGATGTTGGCATGGATGAGGGCAAAGGGAAGCTGGCCCCCGGTCTCAGATTGGGCGGCCTGGGGTGAGCGCTGCAGGAGGTTTGCTGAGGTCAGACACAAACAGGATGAAAAACTGAAAAATTCTCAAGTCATGAAGCTGTGGTGCTCTGTGTGGGGACTCTGAGGAGCAGGTAGGAGGTGTGCAAGGCAGGGAGGGAGGGAGGGAGGAAAGGGAACCAGGAAGGGGCGGGGTAGTGAAGACCCACTGTAGCGACTTCCAGCTGAGTGTCCTGGGCAAGTCCCTCTACCTCTCTGTTCCTAAGTTTCCCCAGCTGAGCAAGGGGCGCTGCTTCCTTCCTCTGGGCTTGGGAGGGTGGCTGTTTGGTGCCAGCAGAGCCTGCTGCCTGAGTTTTTGAGCCCCACCTGCTCCAGTCCTAACCAGTGCAGGAAGCTGGGCAGCCACACTAGGCCCCCTGGAATGCTTGGGGTCCGGTTGGTTGCTATCATTTCCTGTCTCACTGGTTGGCATCTCCAAGGGTCTGTGTCTCTGGGCTGGAGGAGGCCAATGTTGCAGCCAAGCACAGCCAGGGCCAGAGGCGTGATGGAGGCATGAGGGCAGTGATTGAGGGCCGAGACGCTCAGACTCACCTGCCCCACGTTGTTGGGGATGGGCCTGGGGCCCCAGCCTCAGGGAAGGGGTTCTACATGCAGCCTGTCATGTCATTACAATCAGGACACATGTGCATCCCACCTGCATATACACGTCTGCATCCACTGTGTGTGTGCGTGTACGCACAACACACACACACATCCTACGTGCTCCTTTCTCCATCCCAGAAGTTCGTTCTCCTGGGTTCTAGCTCCCGGTTCCCCCTCAGAGGGGACCATCAGAAAGATGAGGGATTCCCCGGGTGACAGATGATGAACAGCAGCCTGGGGTCCCCAGGCCATGCTGTCGCTCCTACCAGGGTCTCTGCTGTTGGCTGGCAGCCTGTCTACCATCTCTGGTTTTCCTCTTACAGTTGGTTGAAGATCCCAGACCTGGAGACATGATTGAGATCTCTCACAGGCTCTACCGTGACTGGGCGCTCTATGTGGGCGATGGTTATGTGATCCATCTGACTGCTCCAGGTAAGGCCTGTTGGAAGCAGGATTCGCCAAGGCTTTGTTAATAAGATAATGAGAGCAGTTGGAATGAAAGCCCAGCATGGGAGCCTGAGTTGGGAGACACGTTCTCTCTGCACAGAGCTCACGCCGGACATAGTCCAAACCCAGAGCCCCTGTGCCCACAGGGTCCACAGCCGCTGGGCTGCTTCAGCACCTGGACCCGCAGGCAGGGCTGGCTCCCTCTGTACCTGGGGCTCCGATGATGTGACTTAAAGCAGCAAAGTTCATCAGGGAGCTCACAGTCCAGGTCTTACTTAGGAAGCACCCTCAGTGTTGTAGTTTTCAAAAGTGCGTGATTTCACAAACTCGGTGGCTTAGTATTTATAATAGACTAGAGGCCCAGTGCATGAAATTCGTTCACGAGGGGGAGGGGGAGTATGTGTCCCTCAGCCCAGTCTGCACCCTCTCCAATCTGGGACCCCTTGAGGGCAGTTGGACATCCCTCTCACAATCCAGGACTGTTGGTCCCAACCGCTTGCTTGCCTGCTGCCTGATCACCCCT